GTTATGAAAAATGAAAGAATTTTGGAAATTGCTTATTTTCTTCTTCTTCTTCAGTCCACTTTTTTCTGCAAACTAAAGCTAAAGAATGCTAAATATTCAGAACAGAATTGAAAGAAACTGCTGCTGCTGCCCTTTCAAGGAGAAAACAAAAAGAAAAGGAAAAACGCAAAAACAAGAACACATTCTTTTCTTTATTAGAGAATTCTCTCTCGCTCTCCTTGGAAACGACGCGGAATTAGAGGCTAATTCCGCGTCCTCTGCCATGATCTTTTTTGTTCATTTTGCAGAGCTCCTAATAAAATACATTTGCGCTCGGTTTTTTCCGCTGAGCCGTCCATTGTTTGTCAGTGTTCNATAAAATACATTTGCGCTCGGTTTTTTCCGCTGAGCCGTCCATTGTTTGTCAGTGTTCGAGAGAGAGAGAGAGAGAGAGAGAGAGAGAGAGAGAGAGAAAGAGAGAGAGATAGAGAGTCAAAGAATTTGACTCTACGGATTCTGCTCTTCATTCTCTCTCTCTTTCGTTGCCAAGTGCCTAGCTCTCTAGTTTGAAACACACGAGTGCTAATAACGAGCCAATTAGAGAGAAAGAAGAAGAAGGAAAGAGCAATACACTGAAAATCGACAGCAACCAACAGAATCGAAAGAAGAAGAAGGAGAATCAGGAGGAATCCCCGAGCAAAGAAATAAGGACATTTATCTTCATTTCTTCTCTTTCTACCAAACAACAGCAGCAAGAATTTCCAAATATAAGGAAAAAATCTGAAGCTCAGGAAGAAGGAAAGGTACCATGAAACGGAGCAGGAGCGGAACATTTTCTGACTGGCCATTTTTCATTTACCAGCAAATTCGGCGGCAGCTGCTGCTGCTGCAACCTCGGTGCCTGAAACTGTCACTAATTTATCTATATTACCAAAGGAACTAGAAAAGCCAAAAAGGACAACAACCCTCAATCGACAAAGTATTTGCTCTCTCTTGCTCACCAAGTTTTTGTCATCATCATCAACGAAAACACCACAAAAAACGGCGGTGGCTGATTACCGTTACGTGAGCTTCAGATTTAGGTGTTTGTGAGTTTCAAAGTACCAAAAATTATTAAAACAGCAAAAATGTTGGCTGGCTAAAAATACCCTTAAGCTTAGCGCGACACAACACAGCACAGCACAAAACAAAATGGCAAAAAGGAAAAAGGAAAGAAAGCGAAAAAGATGCGTAATAAAAGTCGCAATAACAGCTGAAGGAAGGAAAAAAGGCACAAACTCTGGTGACGACAGTCGACGAAGAGGACACAAAGTGAACAATAAAGAAAAAAGAAAAGAAAGAACCAAAAAGCCAGCAAAATATGATGAGATTGCGGCTCAGGGCTCCCTGGGAGGCCCAGTCCCGTCCCTCTTCCCGTCCTCGTCGTTTCCCTCAATCTCATCATCGAGAATGGGGAACACCACCACCAACAAAAGGGAATATAAACTTATAAATAAAGAATGGAGTAGAATAAAAATATGAAGAGATGGAACAAACGATTGAAAATCGCTGAATCGAGTGCTTTTTTAACTGAGAATGAGGAGGAGGAGAAGGCGAATCGAATCGAGAATCGAGAATCAAGAAGCTAATGGAGAGAGTGTTTGCCTCTCCTTCTCCCCAAATAAATAAACAAGAATTGTTTTACTTTTCCTTCTCTTTTGGATCTAATCTTTGCTGCACAGTTTTTAGTGGTGGTGGTGGTGGTCTTCCTCGTCGTCTTTTTCTTCCTCCTCGTTTATAATACTCAAATAAAGGCAGAAATAAAAACAGCAGAAACTCGACTTTGCTTTTCCATTCTTTTGCAGCAGTAGCAGCAGCAATTCGCTTCGGTGCTGGAGCTGGTGGTGCAAAGATATCAGCAGCTCAGCAGGAGCTGGCTGGCTGGCTGGCTGCTGTTCTTAATCTAGGGTGGGATTTACTGGTCCACTGCGGCTGCCTGGCTAGAAATTGAATTTGCCCAAAAGAGAGAAAGAGAAAGAGAAAGTAGAATCCCCTCTTGCAGACTTTTTGGATCAAGGGCTCCAGAGACAGCAGCCACTAAATCCAACCAGCCACTGAGGCTAGCTAAAAAGTTTCCAGATCGGAAATGCTGGGCACTTCAGAAAGAAGGAAGGCAAAAGTGAAAAAAGCTTCCAATTGACAGAAGCTAAAACTTCAACTAAAAAGAAACAAAAAAAAAATAGAACNCTGGTCCACTGCGGCTGCCTGGCTAGAAATTGAATTTGCCCAAAAGAGAGTAAGAGAAAGAGAAAGTAGAATCCCCTCTTGCAGACTTTTTGGATCAGTGGGCTCCNCCAACCAGCCACTGAGGCTAGCTAAAAAGTTTCCAGATCGGAAATGCTGGGCACTTCAGAAAGAAGGAAGGCAAAAGTGAAAAAAGCTTCCAATTGACAGAAGCTAAAACTTCAACTAAAAAGAAACAAAAAAAAAATAGAACACACTGACCTTGCGTCGAGGAAGCGACTTCTGAGGATCATGACCGCCTCGCAGGTGCTCTGCTTCAGCTGCACCTGTATCGAGTTGAACTTCTTGTGGATGATCTGCACCATCCGCTCGATCTCCTTGGGGGTGATGGGCCGCGTGCGCGACTGCTCGCGCAGCAGGTTCATCACGTGCGTCGTGAACTCATTGCAGGCCTAGGAAAAGGAGTTCGAATTAGGACTTTAAAAGAACTCAAAGGGATTCTTTAGAAATGCTTACCTGCTCATATTTATCGAGCTCCTGGTGGTAGATGTTGCGAATCTGGGCAAGCTTAGCTCGGTAGTCTGAATGTTCGATTGCATTTTCGCCGCTGGAGTGGCCA